GCTCTTGGGCTTAGCCGATTCTCTTGCCTTAGCATCCCAAGTAGCTGGGACTACAGGCACCCGCCACAATGCCTGGCTATTTTTTGTTGCAGTTTGTCTGGGGCTGGGTTTGAACCTATCACCCTTGGTATATGGGGCTGGTGCCCTACTCACTGAGCCACAGGTGCTGCCCTGGTGTCTCTTTTTATAAGAACACTAAGTATTGTGTCACAGCCACAACTTTATGATCTCATTTAATCTTAATTAGTTCCTGCTCTCAGTTCCTGGCTCCATTTCCAAGTAGAGCCATACTGGACGTTGGGGCCTCAGCATATGAATTGTGGGGGGCACAAATATTCATTGTCTAACAATTTCATTAGTCTTTTATTCAGGCCCTGAGCTAGTACCAAAGTTTTATGGTAAATCTGGTATCTCTGGATGGATTTAAAACCATCCTTTTAATTCTTCTTATTCTTCCATAAGAATTATATATATATATATATTTTTTTTTCCAACAAAAGAGCTCACATATTTATTACTACACCAGCTTATTAGTGAAGAGCATATAAACAAAGAGAAAAGTCATTGTCCCAAAGAAATGTGGCCAAATGTCTAACTGATGACAATTTCAGCTTGGTACGGTAAGATGATCGTGACCGTGATACAGCATAAGTACGAGCCATCTTGTGTGCAATTCCTTATAGGCCCAGCTTCGTTCTCCAGTGTCTCCTCTTCAAGTTGTTGCTGATTTTATTACCAGTTTTTGTTCGAATCCACTGGAGAATGGAATGATTTTGTTTTTGTTTCTTGGCCAAAAACTGCTTGATTCTGAAAGTCTTGTGAGAGGACTTGGTGACAAACTGGACTCATCACCTCTTCCAGGAGAGTTTTAGAATCACCTTGTGAAATTCCATGAAAAACCCATAAGATTGAAATATCATTTAATTTATAGATTCAGAATTGCCATCTTCATGTTAGTAATTCTTCACATCTGGAAATGTGGTGTATTTCTGTTTAGTTTTCATTTGGTTTCAATTTTTTTGTTTTTGAGAGACTCACTATGTCACCCTTGGTAGAGTGCCATGCTGTCACAGCTCACAGCAACCTCAAACTCTTGTGCTTAAGTGATTCTCTTGCCTCAGCCTTCCAAGTAGCTGGGACTAAGGCACCATGCTTGGCTATTTTTTTGTTGTAGTTGTTATTGTTGTTTGGCAGGCCAGGGCCAGGTTCGAACTCACCAGCCCTGGTATATGTGGCCGATGCCGTAACCAGCTTTTCTATTCTTGTGAATTTTTACTAAGAAGAATGTGTTTTAACTCCATCCAGGTTAATATACAAGATGTAAAGTCTCCATCTTTTTATGGCTGAATAGTATTCCATAGTGTACATATTCCACAGATTCACCACACATAACCATTCATTGGTTCATGGGCACTTAGATTGTTTCCACATCTTGGTGATTGTAAACTGAACTGCAATAAACAATCTAGTACAAACGTCCTTATAATAAAATGATTTTTTTTTCTTCTGGGTAGATGCCTTGTAATGGGATTGAGAGATCTAATGGAAGGTCTATTTTGAGTTATTTGAGGATTCTCCATACTTCTTTCTAAAGAAGCTGTGTTAGTTTACAATCCCACCAACTGTGTATGCTTTTAAAGTTTTTCACCCTAAAATGCAATGATAGTTGTATGTTTGGGCACATACCTATTATTAAGATAGGGAAGTTCTCTTTATTGTTAGTTTGCTAAGAGTTTTCTAAAAATTGATATTAGGTGTTATTAGTTTTCTGCAGCTTAGGATATAATAATATGATTTTTTCCTTTAAACAAAATATGGTGAGATATATATTTAATATGTATAGTATAGATATGACATATGCAATAATGAATATATATCTTGAAGGCAAAACCATCTCTGCATTCCTGACATAGATGCTGCTTTATCATGATATATTGCTTGGTTCAATTTGCTAATATTTTGTTGAAAATTTTTATGGCTATCTTCAAATAAGATTTATGGCTATTGTTTACTTTCCTTGTAATGCCTAGTTTTAAGATAAAAGTCCTACCAGACAGTACAACATACTATAAAGAAAAATACTAGAAAGAAAAAAAGAGAGACATCAACAGAACTGCATATAAGGTCTAGAAACGAATCCTACATATGGGATTTTTAGCATTTAACAAAAATGACATTCAAATTGGTGGGGAAAAAGATGCATTATTTAATAAAAGAATAAAGCAGGTGATGTGGTAAAACAACTAGATAGCCATTAGGTTATAAAACTGGTGCTATGGTTCACAGCATATCCCCAGATCACTCAAATGAATCAAATTATTGTTTGGTTGATTGATTGAGACAGATCTCAGTTGCCCATGGTAGAGTTCATGGCATGGTAGCTCACAGCAACCTCAAACTCTTTGGACTTAAGCGATCCTCTTATATTACCCTCCCAGGTAGCTGGGATGATAGGTGCCTGCCACAACACCTGGCCATTTTAAAAGATGGGGTCTTGCTTTTGTTCAGGCTGGTTTCAAACTCTTGAGCTCAAGAAACCCATCCACTTTGGCCTCCCAGAGTGTTAGGATTAGAGGCATGAGCCATCACGACCAGCTTGAATCAAATAATTTAAATGTAAAAAATGAAACAGGCTGAGTGCAGTGGCTCACACCTGTAATCCCAGCACTTTGGGAGGCCAGAGTGGGAGAATTGCTTGAGGCCAGGAGTTCAAGACCAGCCTGAGTAACATAAAAAACAAAAATTAGCAAGTGTGGTGGGCAACTGAACTCCTACCTACTTGGGAGGCTGAGTGAAGCAGGAGGATTGCTTGAGCCCAGGAGTTTCAACTTGCCTTGAGCTATGATTGCACCCCTGTACTGGAGCCTGGGAGACACAGTGAGACACTGTCTAAAAAAAAAGAAAGAAAGAAAGAAATGAAAAGAAACAATAAAAATGCCAGATGAAAACATGGGTGAATTCTATCATAACCTACTTTTTAAGACCTATTTTTATTTTTTCTGGGAAATTAATTATATTCAAACTTTCTAATCAATTGACATAAAAAGCTATTTTACCTTGTTATTCTTATAA